CAGAAACCGGTCAATCGTATGAAATACACCGAAGGTCAGGTAACATCGTTATTAAGAGAGAAATTCATTCTGCGGAAATTTACTTCAGAATGACAAAAAGCTCAAATGTGAATCCTTATAATAAACTCGTTACATGCAGCTTGTCAGACGTCTAGGATCATAGTCTATCCGTCCTCAAAAAAATCCTGACGAAGAAATGAATATAGTCTGAAAAATAGGGTCAGTGAGGGCAGTGCAATAGCAGAGCTTAGTTTCTTGACAGAGATGACAATATGACGAATCTTCACGAAGTTCTGTGGACAACCGTTCGGTTTTGTTTCCTGGACGCATATCGTCACTTTTGCGAAAGAGAAAGTCTTTTTGATCCTAAGCGCTTTTCCTTATCCAGAATTATAATCGTAGAAACCGTTCTGACAAAGCGGCCTCTTTTCAAGTTGTGAAAGAACGGAAGAAAGAATGACAGAGTTCTGTCATACCTAACAGTGTTCCACCCTTGTCGTAAATCAGTGATAAAATTGAATCGGATCTGAACGAATGAATTTGAGTGGACTCCGCCCATGGACTTGTCGGCAAGTACAACAGTACGTGCGACTCTGACCGTCCCTGTTAGACAATAGTAAAGAGTACAGCGAATGAAAACATACTGTAGCAAATGAAAGATTTCATTTCTATCTGCATGGTCGTAACCTGTATTACAACGTTCCTTTGTAAACAGTCTAACTGAGCCTTTGCATTGCATTGTTCTGCTGTACTGTGAGAGGCTAGACGAGGTAATCGCATTTTGGTAGTTCGTTTATTCACAAACTGAGTAATCCCGTTTTCCTGCAGCCCCACAAGACCATGGGTCCTTCTCGAAGTCAGCCGTCAAGTAGTGAAACAAGTTGAAAAGATTTCAACTGCTCCAACCTATTATAGTACGCTGGCATTTGTATGGGGAGACATGAAGAATTGAAATTTGGACTCTTCTGTGCCTAAAGGTCCCACTGGTCGTTCCAACATCTGCTATGTAGCCTTTCGCCTTCCTGCCTTCTGTCGATCTGTTGCTTCTGGCAGTCGCGTGATGTCGCCAATCGTCTCTCAGACTCTTTCAGAATTGGTTTTGTTCAAATCAAACTTTGCTAGGTTTCGACGTTGCCGTATTATGCATGTTGGCTTTCTAGGATCATGCCCAAACGGCAGGGCTTCGCCTAAACGCTGCCTCAATGACAGGGAGTGTGCCGCGTACAAACCGAGCACCACTTGCCTCTGCGGTCTGTGCTGTGAAGTGGCCGCTCGCTGTCCCGACGGCAGCAGCGGGTCGAAGCACTGCTGCACCGACGAAGAGTGTGAACTCTCCTTCAGCAGCAATTACGGCTGTTACTATGGCTTGTGCTGCTGGAAATCCGGCTCGTTGTCAGCCGCCTCTAAGCGCTCGCATTTGCCAAGGCTCCACTGTATTTCGAACGAGGAGTGCGAAACGTTTCATAGCAGAGATTCAGCTTGCCATGATGGCGACTGTATGACGATCCGCAATAGGTACTCGCTTCCGTGCGAGAATTCCGCGCAGTGCCGTCAGGCGTACGGTGGCGAGTACTCTTGCCAGGGGAGTTACTGCAGTCGGCGTGTAGTATTAAACGTTCTCAGCAGTGACCGCCACGGCTCTGATTGCCTGACCAGCGCGAATTGTGAGCCATCTTTCGTCTGTGACCAGGGCCTTTGTCGTTCTACAAGCCATTTACCGAATCTGCCGTGCGGTTGTCAGCTTAAACAACGCCACCAGTAACGATTGTATCAATTCCACATGTGCAGGGACTGCTGCTGACTCAGGACAGCACCACCACACCTATTTGATGCATCCACATTTTTTTCTACCTTCAAAATCGTATTTAAATTTAACCGCTC